CAAACGCCTGATCGGAATGAGCAAGATCGCTGAACTCATGAACTCTAGGATCACGGCGGCCGGGAAAGATACGCCTCGTCATCTCAACATCACTCTCCGTCAGCTCTCCAATAGGGCGATCATCATCAGAATCAAGAGCCCTAGCCATCTCATATGGCTCCGAATCATGCATAATTTCAACACTATTGGAGCCACGGAATCCATTTTCAAAGTGCACTTGCGCAGCAACAGGGGGCACATCCACATTCTTAGGAATGTCTCCTGCAATATCAGTAGAGAAATGAGAAAAGAATGAAAGAAATAGATGTAAGGAACGGGATAAGCTCCCAAAAACCATGCGGTTAAGACACTTACTCGAATGATTCTGTGTCAAAGGGATCTCATAAGGAGGATCTGCCACGGAAATATGAGTCTGACAACCATCTCTAATTACCGCATTGGGGGCAGATTGAGCATCGGGAACCGTAGGTGCAATCTCCACATGCAGATAAGGTTCCGGAATGGGAGGGTCGATGTGTGCCTGATAATCCATTGCTGGGGTAAACCCATAAGGGATGGGATCAACTAACACCCGATGCACAATCACGTCCAAACATTGCAGCTGCCTCTTTATAGCCGATCTCACATAGTTCTCCCACTGATCCGCACAACCAATTGAGATCATTCGTCTGAAGATGTTGGGAGGAGAACCTAGGTGCAGTACACCATCAACTGCAATGCCATCATCTCCAAGGCAATGCAGCTCCTCCTGAGCCCTTGCAACCATCTCACTAAATGAAGGCCTATCATTGAATAGCACAGGCACGCTTTGCATGTCAACAAACTCAACATATCCATAGCGATCACTTTCAATGATGCCTCCATGATATATGGTCACTAGGTTGTCCATCTAGTTCAAACACGTAACGAAATACATGTCCTTTAGTCCAAATTAGACGATAGATATTACCTAACAAGTACTTTCTAACTACAAACTAAGTAAATAAGATAATAACTACGTATATATATACAGTGTACTCACTAAATAGCTATATCATATTTAATTAACTAAATATGTAACTATATATCTAAGTAACTATTTAACTATATCTATATACCTATGTATCTATGTTTCTATCTATCTACATATATCTCACTAGAGCACTAACAGAATCAACTACCTGAGTCATCACATTAACTAGTAAATAACAAATGCCAACTAAGTAGGTACATTGCATATTCATAATTTTTACCTTTCCAACGACTGATCCGTGGACGTCGACGGAGTCGCAGCGGACGATGGGCATGGGTCAGGCCGACGATCTAGGCCGGCGGTGGCACGGCCGGCCGCTGCAGGTGGCGGGGTCGGCGGTGGCGCGCGGCGGGCGCGGGATGCCCGGGGCTCCGCGCGACGAGTCCGGCTCGACGGGCGTGGGAGGCACGGCGGCCGAGGCCGGCGGTGGAGGGCGGCAAGGCGAGGCGAGGCCAAAGCGAGGAGGAGGAGAGCGGCTGGCTGCTGGCAACAGGCCTTGTGCCCCGGGGTCCGCACGCCGAGGCGTGTGGTGGCCTGGGCGCGGGCGAGGCAGCCGGTGGAGGCTGGTGGCGCGGCGTGAGCTCGACTCTGCTCTGCTAGGGCGAGAGAGGGAGAGGAAGAGAGGCACGGGGCCCATAGGTAATAAAGGCTCGGCGCCAGCCCCTCTGGTGCCGAGCTCGGCGCCAAGATCTACGGCGCCGAGCTCCCTGCCATGTCACCTACCGAGCCCAGGAGCTCGGCGCCAGGGACGCTGGCGCCGAGACGTGTTAGCTCGGCGCCAGCATCGATGGCGCCGAGCTAAGGGTATATTTTCTAAAATCTTTTCTCCAGGGCTTTATCTGTGAGAAACTTAAAAAAAAAAAGCTAAAATGTAAAAAATTTGGATGCGTCTAAGGCTAAGCAGACAAAATCCAGCAGCGTGCTGCAGAACATCTGAGATGCAAAATAGCCATTGCAGTGGTAATCAGAGTCAAGAGGTTGCAGCAAAAACTGAAACTTACTAGCCACGAGCTTCAAGCCTGAAGACAAGTGTGGACGGCAAACAGCAGTACTGGAAGAAGGTTGAAAATCCGAAGCAGCATGCAGACAGCAGCGCTTGGTTCTCTCAATAACAGTTCCAAGACAGAGGCTGGCAGAACAACACAATTGGGCCTTGTTTAGATTGCAAAATTTTGCAATCCGGATACTGTAGCATATTTCGTTTGTATTTGATAAACTTTGTCCGATTATAGACTAACTAGGCTCAAAAGATTCGTCTCGTGATTTACAACCAAATTGTGTAATTAATTATTTTTTTTACCTACATTTAATGCTCCATGTATGTGTCTAAAAATTGATGTGATGAAGTGAGAGTGAAAAAACTTAAAATTTTGATGGGATCTAAAAAGGCCTTGGTGTGGTGATAATTGGCTCGATGCCGGTCTGGGTTGACAGTTCTGAGTCCTCTCTTTTGGTAGAAAATGTCAGTCTTAGGTGCTGTTTCGTTGCTCCTCCTAAATTTTAGTCGTTGTCTTATCGAATGTTTAGATATATACATAGAGTATTAAATATAGACTAATTACAAAACTAATTGCATAGTTTACGATTAATTTGCGAGACGAATCTTTTAAGCCTAATTAGTCCATGATTTGACAATGTGGCGCTACAGTAAACATGTGCTGATGACGAATTAATTAGGTTTAAAAAATTCATCTCGTGGAGTACTGACGGATTATATAATTTATTTTTTTATTAGTATCCAAACACCCCGTACAACATCCTCCCGACACACCTCCTAAATTTTAGTCGCTGGATCAAACACCATTTTAGGTTGGTGGTTTCTCAGCTTCAACATGGCATCAAAACAGGGCGAAAGATGAATAGTTATATTCTAGCTTTTTTTCATAGAAATGTTAGATTTTAGTTTCTTGGTGGAGAAAAGGTACTTTTGCAGCACTATGCTGATGGTGGATTCTTTTGAAGAAGAAAGGAGACAATATAAGGTGTGTTGTTTTTCAATCACATTAAGAAAGGAAAAGGAGAGGATTTGAGTGACGGTGTGTGATTTCGACCCCGTTTGCTTCGCTGAAAAAAGCTGAAATATTATTTGGACTGATTTGTTGTGAGAGAAAAACACTGTTCCGACTAAAAAAATAAACTAAAAAATATGGATTATAAGAGAAACAACATGACCTTCTTCCTTGCTCAATTTTTCCCTTTTTGTTTTGCTTGTGCTGTGGCAGGTGTTGCCCGGAAATCAGATCGGCAAAATGCTTCATATATAATTTGTAGTACTGTGTGATCTCATAGAGTAGGCGTTTGTTTTTCTTTGCAACATTAATTGAAACCCCGACGTGACTTGCTAACACTGTAAAGTTGGATGGGACTGGAGCGCGGATTGATTGGTGAGACGTGTAGTGTGTGTGGTTGCATTGCGACGGTGCTGGCCATTCAAGGATGACGTTGATCTTTCCCGATTTCAGACACGTCCAAAGGACCTCCCTGCCTGCACAGAGCACATGCACTGACGGCTGGTCGAAACCAACAAACGAATACCCAGGCGCGCCTCACCGCACGCGACGTCGACGCGCCTTCGCGCTGCGGTTGGGACCTTCCTTCTCCCGACGACCCGCCCGACGGTTGAAACCCTCACTAGCTGCAGCTGGCTGTCGATCGTCGGCGGGTAGCTTTGCAGCTTCTGCCACCCGGCCGGCGGAAATAAACTGCACCTGGGTACGTTGATTGCAGAATGACATCGCACCTGCCGGCGTCGTGCGTGTTGTGTTGGGGACGAACGAGCATTTTTACTTGTGGCCACCTCTCTTCCTCTTGGTGCGTCACCCTTGCACTTGACACCTCGCGCTTTTCTGCCTGCCTGCGTGCGTGCGGTCGCCATGCTGGACAAGGAATGAAGGAACGCATTTGCGTCCAAGGAGGCCACGACAAATGCAAACCTGCCTTGCACTCAGCATGCTGGATATGATACTCGGCGTTGCGAAACGGCGCACGTTCGTAAATCGTAGGGCTCACTCTTGTTATCTTTGTACTCCGTATATGTAGTCGCTCTCGAGCACGATGTGGCCAATGCAGGTGCGGCGAACGGCCGAACGCATACGACGAGCGCTGATGGTAGCAGATTATTACTTTCTGTAGTGATGGATAAGTGGAGTGAGTCGATGGATCCTGCTGATCGACCGGAGGCAACCCAACCCGCCCCCATTCGCGCACGAGCAGAGCTGCAGAGCGGCCGCCGCTGTCGTGCTCACGATGGCGTTGCTTGCCGCTGCCGCCACAGGGGGGACTTGCCTAGCTATACATGGAGCTTCCTGTACTCCTACATCAGTAGTGGAGTCGACTGATCGATCGGTATCCTGCGCCATTAATAAGTAGTGCGCGGCCAGGCTTTCCTTTTCTCCCTCCCGGGGCCGGGGGGCGGGTGGTGGCCGCGCCCCGGCACCTACCCCCCGAGGCAGCGAGCGAAACCGATGCGCCGTCGCCGTTCCGCCCCGCGCGCGCGTCGCGCCTCCCGTCCTACCTTTATTATCACACCACAAAAATCATCATCACCCATCAGCCCCCGCCACCCACCAAACCACCCTTGACTCCAAGCATAGAGAAATAGGGAGGGTCCTGATCGATTCATAAACACGCGCGTTAATGGATCGCCTTTCTCCGCTTGCGGTGTGCGTGTTAATGTCCCCCACCATTATCTTGCTCCGTCGGTTCGTGCGACATCTCGTCGTGTCCCGACAACGAGGAGATGCTACTACCTACTTTGGGCGAGGCTGATGAGGCCACAGCTCAACTGCTGCCTGCCTGCCTATACATACGCAGGTCTCTGGTCACTCACGCCCCTGCATTGCACGCGAGGAGAGGCAGACCCGAGATACACTACTGCTGCGTTTATATGCTTGCTTCTTGGGCATCCGCCGGCCGTGAGGAGCACACGATAGAGCGGAAGGGGATCGGAAACGCAAGGAGATCTATCTTTCTAGCATAGAGATCGAGGATGACCAGCGGCGGTGCAGCAGGCGCCGGGGCCACGGGAGGCAAGGCCGCCGCCCCGCTTCGGCTGCACCACTACCTCGTGATGGCCGGGGTGGCGGCCGCGGTCGTCCTCGCCTGCCTCAGGTACGCGCCGGACGCCGCGGGGTACAGCTTCCTGGCCGTCGCGCCGCAGCCGGTGGAGGCCGCCGCGGTCGCCCGCGCGGCCGACGGTGGCGACGCTCATGCTGGTGCCGGCTCATCGTCGTCGTCGGTGATCATCTTCAACTTCGGGGACTCCAACTCCGACACGGGCGGCATGGCGGCGGTCAACGGGATGAACCTCAACCTGCCCGAGGGACGCACCTTCTTCCGCCGGCCCACCGGGAGGATCTCCGACGGCCGCCTCGTCATCGACTTCATCTGTGAGTTCTGAGTTCGTTCGTCACCCTCACCCTGACCTTTATTTCACGATCGCTCGCTGATACGATACGACATGTGCTTCAAATTTATCTCTCTCTCTCAATCAGATCCCAGTAGAGTCAGAACTGAAACATACTAACACTGTTCGATCAACTAGCAGCCTGTTCGGGAGGCCGTATCGTATCGTGGATTATTTACTATTTGCTGGTTTGGTGTGAGAGAAAAATACCGTTTCCGACTGAAAATTTACGATCGTTTACGAGCAAGCGAACAGGCTGGCTAGCTCTTACTTGTGCATATAAAAAAATGCTGACTGCTATCTTCTAAAAATTATCATATAGAAAGATCGAAGTTCAAATGAAACGCTAAAAAAGAAACAAATGGCTTTTTGGGATGGAAGTGGAGAAAAAGTGGTAAGGCTATCTCTAACAGGGCACCTATTGCGGAATCCAAATCTAAAATAGGTCTTCAACACAATATCTATAGTTTCCAACAGAGTATTTATATGGAAGACTCATTTTAGATATCAGGAGAGATATAACTTAAATATGAGTATCCTCTCTTTTAAAAACCCATTTACAAAAAAGATTGTCTTTTGGATCTTGTTGTTGAAGAAGATCAAAAATAAGTATTAAACCCTTTATATGTAGTGTTAAAAAATAAGTTTTATATTCTGGATCACGGTTGTCAGAGACTGTCTAAAGAAGTATCGCCATAATGGGATCATGGAAAGAGATTTATGTCGGCCCACAGGTACATGCATGTACATCTCTGCACTTCATCAGTCAACATGAGCTGCCCCCAGCACACCTGTGGCCCTGCGGGGCAAAAACCCCACTGCAAATTATTGTTGCAGCGATCAATCATCACTGACCACTGGCGCAGAGGTCCACACTGCGACACAGGCGTCGGTGATCTGATGCGTTGTTCTTGACTTAGTGTTGCCCTCTCATTTTAATTAAGTAGATCTTAATTAAAATGTTTGGGTTTCGTTCGCATGCATGATGCATCGCCTGCAGGTGAGAGCCTGCACACGCCGTACCTGAGCCCATACCTGAAGGCGCTGGGCGCGGATTTCAGCAACGGCGTCAACTTCGCCATCGGCGGCTCCACGGCCACGCCGGGGGGTTCTCCGTTCTCGCTGGACGTGCAGCTCCATCAGTGGCTCTACTTTAGGGCCAGATCCATGGAAATGATCAACCTAGGTCTGTCGACTGTCAACCATGTGAAGTGAACAACCCTCGTACCCATGGCAATTAAGCTAATTATCTATCTCAGCTATTAAAACTAGCTAGTCGGAGAAGCTTGTTAATAACTGGGTGTGAGACCGGTCGATGTGATTAATGTGATGCAGGGCAGAGCCCACCGATCGATCGCCAAGGATTCAGAAAGGCCATCTACACCATCGACATCGGGCAGAATGACATCTCTGCTTACATGCACCTGCCCTACGATCAAGTGCTTGCCAAGATCCCCGGTTTTGTTGCTCAGATCAAGTACACCATCGAGGTATAACTAATATAAATTCCTCCTCTTTTTCCCTCTCTTCTCTACTAATTAATACTAATAGAAAAGGAAGGGATTATGCTATGCTGGTATGCTTGCAACAATATAGGAGTAATTGACACCACACCTCCTTGATATCATATGACACATGCGTTACATAGACGCTGTACTCGCACGGGGCCCGCAAGTTCTGGATCCACGGCACGGGCGCGCTGGGCTGCCTGCCGCAGAAGCTGGCCTTCCCGCGGGACGACGACACCGACCTGGACGCCCACGGCTGCCTCAACACCTACAACGCCGCCGCCAAGCGCTTCAACGCGCTGCTCAGCGACGCCTGCGCCCAGCTCCGGCGACGGATGGTGGACGCCGCGCTCGTCTTCGTCGACATGTACACCATCAAGTACGACCTGGTGGCAAACCACACAATGCACGGTAACTCATACTGAGCCACTGCAATGCAATTATGCAGCTTCAAATTAAGGAAATCAATCGCTTCTTCTGAACTTGTGAGCTTTGTTGCATTATGCAGGGATTGAGAAACCTCTGATGGCGTGCTGCGGCTACGGCGGGCCGCCCTACAACTACAACCACTTCAAGGCGTGCATGTCGGCGGAGATGCAGCTCTGCGACGTGGGCACGCGATTCATCAGCTGGGACGGCGTGCACCTCACCGAGGCCGCCAACGCCATCGTTGCCGCCAAGGTGCTCACCGGCGACTACTCCACGCCCAGGGTCACCATCGCCAGACTCGTCAACTCCACGCTGCCCAACGACGACTAGCTGCCCGGCGCTCGATCGACATTCTGATAATATACATGTAGGCTTGATCGATCCATATCCATAGAAATCTAGAAGCTCATAATAGATTCGTAATGTGGGCCAAATGACGCAGCGATCGAACTCGTGAAGAGCTGGTTCACCGCTGTCATCAGGATCGAGTTCGAACGAGCAATTCCATGGCACCGAGTGACACAATTGATTTCATTATTGACTATAGTCGTATACTAGCAAAAGAAGAAAGGGCTGGATCAACTGAGTGTTTTCGTGGGGATGGGCGTTTGAGGCTTTTACATATATAAATCTGTCATGTACGTGACATGCAATGCGTATATGTGCGTAACATTTGCAATTCCTTAAAAAAAACATCTTCGATACGTTTGGTTTGAGGTAATCGAAAGAAGGGAATCGAAATTTAAAGGCAGGAGTTTAGAAATCTCTGGTTTGTTTTATGAGAGCGAGAGTTTAGATGGAAAGGGAAATAAGAGTTTAGAGGGGTTAACTTCCACTAATTAATTCCCTAAGGGAGGGGTTGGAATTGTGCTTTTAATAAAAAACTAGGTAGCGTGTCCGTGCGTTGCTACGAGATAACTAACAATTTATACTAAAAACACACGGATCGCACGATAAAATAACAATACTGTTAAATTAAATACCAACGTTAAAGTGTTATTTAATCCAAAAAGCAAAGTTTATGAATTTAACACAGCCACGGAGTGCGCGGCGTCGCAGGCTCACAAACTCTAGAGCTTCCAGAGATTGGGTCGAATCCAACCTAGAGCATCGGAACCCTGCATCTTTTTCTGGACGGGCTTCACTTCGGATGCGCCATTAGCAATATCAACGATCTCCAGTCGATGGACCAAGTCGTATGGATCCCTATACAATGACTCAGACATGTAGATTTTGTTCTCCTTATACTTGGATACACTTGTTCCACTGAAGCTTACATTGAAATGTTTAGATACGAACAGTGTCTGATCACCGATGTCCTTCACCCTGGACCACTCCGGCGTACGGTCGTGGAGGTTGCACTTATAGATCGTGCTGTTGTAGGTGAAGCTCTGTGTCTCGTGGAACGTGCTCACCATGGCACCCACAATGTGCAGCTCATCGTTTGATTCCAGGTAGCTACGGTGGCAGAGCCCCGCAGGTGGCGACAGCGTCGCGGTTGGAGTAGCGCCGGCGGCGTTGCTGCAGCAGACGGAGATTTCTCTAGTGCAGTCGATCACCAAGAACTTGTCTTGGCAGTGGACGATGGACCCCACGGAGAACTCCAGGTTGGTGTCGAGTAGCTTCTATGCACTGTCGACTCCAACCCGACAGAACGCGATCTCCGTAGAGCATCCAAGCATGACCATGGCCACGCACTCGCTTATGTCTTTTAGCTTGATGGCTCTACCTCATGTCCCTCATGTCTTTTAGCTTGATGGCTCTACCTACGGCATCCGCGTCCCCGTAGCCGTTGGTGGGATGGAGGACCCACCGACCGTGGACCCTAGACATGCGTTTCGATGAGGACGCTGCTGCGACGTGTTCGCCTGCTGGCGGGAACTCAACGCGAGGGGCACGGGCACCGGCGAATGGATTCAGCAGCGTCACGGACACCGCTTCGTCCATGAATGCCAGCCACCCACACGAGGAGCCGCACGCCACCTTCCCACGCATGTCGGGCAGCGTATTGGACAAGACTTTCTTCTCTGGGACGCAGTAGAAGCCGACGCGGTCCGAGTCGGGGTCGAACGGGAGCAGCAGTAGCGGCCCGAAGGTCGCGAATGGGACAGCGGCGCGCCATGTGGAGCAAGCGGATCGGAAGGACGCCGCGTCGTGGCCTGACGCGAGACGCTGCCCGATGAACTCGAGGAGATCCTCTGGCAGGCCGAATCTCCAGTCAGGAAGAGGTAGGGACCTTCTCTTGGGATTGGGAGGCTGAGCCATGAAAGACAGATGACATCAACTATGGTTCACGCAAGAAACAGCAAGCGAGGGCGATGGAACACGTGAGCGTGAAACCAAATGAAAAGAGGAAAAATCTGTCCCTTTTGCAAATGCAAAGAGGGAAAGTAATTAAATGTAGCCAGATTTGATAAGGTTCTCAGAAATGTAAAGAGATTCCTTTTGTCTTAATTTTCTTTCCTTCTGTATTAATTTTCTTTCCTTTTGCTCGTTGCCATGTATGCTGGTGCATGCAAACATGCAATGTGTATATGGATATCACAATAATTTTCTACTTCCTATTTTGCCGTGATTCCTCTATCACATGACAGGCAATATTCAATCAAGGAGACTGGCATGATCAATCAGTAATTAAAATTAACCTGTAATCAATGTGTAATCGGTTTGACTAGCCTATAGTACGCTGTATATTTATTTATATAGTAGCGTGTCTATGCTAACGCTACGACAACATTCGGGTGTGCAAATTAGAACCACCGAAAGATATCACAAACTAGTACTCCCTTAAATTAGGTTCCAATGGTTTCCTTTATGGATAATTACATTGCAACTTCATTAATTACCATACAACTATATATATATATATATATATATATATATATATATATATATATATATATATACACACTAACCTCTAAAATCAGTGTCAAAAAGCAAAGTTCATTTCATAAGAGCAGGAGTAAGTCTAGACAGACAACCTTTCTTGTGGAGCAATTTTTGCATAAATGTATAGCCATGAATCTGGCTAAAGCTTGAGAAGATAGTGATTGCAGTACATAAACCGGATGACCAACCTTCATAAACGTTCCAAAAATGCGGGATATACAGTGTTCTCGTGCGTTGTTACGGGACAACTAAATTTTTATATTAAAAATACACAGATCGCACAATAAGATAACAATACTATGAAATTAAATACCCACATTAAAATGACATCAATCCAAAAAGCAAAGTTCATAAAATTAACACGGTCACGAAGAGCACGGAGTCGCAAGCTCAACGACTGTACTATATAGACCTTTCCAAATTTTTGTTGACTCTGATAATTAACAAATAAGCAATGCCTCACCATATTTTTGTTGACTATTCACTGTGTTTTTTAAGAAAACATGTGATGGAGAGACATAGTTGGTTTTTAACTTTTTTTTACATCATCACTAATCCAATTAAAGAGAGAGGACCATAATTTTTTTAAGAAAACAATGTCTATGAATTGTCATATTCTCAGAAAACCGAACTGGTTGTCATCTTTCTATTTTTGCCAGTAAAATTATCTAAGCTTTATATGTATAACCTGAAAATTGAACTACTTGTCATCTTTCTATTTTTGCCAGTAAAATTATCTAAGCTTCATATTTATAACCTGGACTTAACATGGCCATGCCAAGACATAAAAAGTTACCTTAGTTACAATATCATTATATTAAGCTCAATAAGATGGCAGTTGATTGTGCTCTGCATCAAGCATCAGTGTATCAATTGACTCATCCTCTAGAGTTTACAAATGTAAGCCATGGCAATAAATTACAACAATTCAGGGCAAGTTCAGTGAGAAATCCCTCTTTTTCAAGGTTTAACTTCAGTGAGAAATCATCATTCTTTTTTCTTGCCTGCCTACATCACATTGTTCAAAAATAAACAAAGATCAATCCACAGACATTTTGCAGTGCAGAGATAATTTTGTGACCTGGCTTGGTGTTGCTGTTACGGGAACACCAATTCAGCGAGCGAGGTCTAGAGGTGCAAAGACCTGATGCCAAACATCTGAATACCATCCAGTGTAATAAAAAAATTAGCAGGCCAAAAATTCAGTGGCCATAAAAAAAGTTGATAAGAGAAAAGTATCTAATATATTTTACCAGTAAAGTATCTAACATTGGTACACCAAACTCATAAATTGAGACTATCAGTAAACAAATAAGGCTTGAACTACTTGAAACGAGATTGGTACAGACAAATGGCTAACTATGCTAAAAAAACAATAGCATCCAATGTGCAGGCACACAATATCGAAAAAATAGATGATGAACTATATAACAAGAACGTCTACAACATCATGAACTATGGTTGTGTAACATCATGAGCAATGCGATGGAGGACCGGGCGGCGTCAATCGGTCTACATACGTGAAGACGGCGGCTCGGGTGCCACGACTCGGTGGCGTCGAGGTAGCGGCAGCAGTAGCCGAGGACGGACGGCTCGGGTGCATGGCGTGGGCGAACAGCGAGGACTATTGCCATGGACGTCGTGGAGGCGGCGGTGTTTCTAGGTGCGATGCGCGGGCGAACGGCGAGGACGGCGGCGTGGCGTCGTGGAGGCGGCGGCGGTGCACGTGGTGCCGGGAGGAGGATAATGCAAGCTTGAGCGCCTGAAGACGAACAATGGGAGCAGGTCATGGAGGGAGATCGCACGGGGAGGGAGATCGCGCGGGAGGTGATCTTGCGGCGACCTTGCGGCGATCGATGATGTAGCCACAGTGCATCCACTTGTAAGCGCGGCGGTGGATGATCCATTGTTGTTGCTTCTCCACTACAGCGAGGAAGAAGAAGTAAGGCGGCTCGATCGTGCGAGGGCTTGAGGAATGGGGCGCGTGATGATCGCGTCTCCGTCACGGCGACCGATGTGAGCTTGAGTCCTACCAAGAAGACGCGTTCGATCGTGCAGCGACGAGTAACGATGGTCTTCCGTGTTTGTAGCGCATGTAAATCAGGGTCAAGAATTTCATATTTGTGGCACGAGGGCGGTATGATCGAGCGTGAGACGTGGGTGATCACTTTCCTTGTTTGAGGCAATTAGGGTCAAGACTTTCCGTGTTTGTAGCACATGCAAATCAGGGTCAAGACTTTCCGTATTTGTAGCGCATGCAAATCAGGGTCAAGACTTTCCGTGTTTTCTTCGCACCAAAGGACGCAGCATGCGGGAGATGTCATGGGATCGCAGACGTGGACAGACGGACGAACCAAAATAAATGACGCACCAAAAAATATCCACACTTTATTTTTTTTAGTTGTAGGAGATAGATATAACCTCACCGTCTATCATGACTT